GTGACAGAGGAGAAAGAAGTGGAAGAAATGAAGAATTCTAGGCCAGAATGACCCTACTTAAAAGACACTTTCAGATATAATCATTGTTACATGTGCACAATTTATTCAACACTACTGTGTACATAGTGGACAAACTTAAATCCTTATTTGAAACATCTCCTCTTTGTAGATGTTTAGAAGTGCACAAACTATGTTAAAAGTAGAGGTAGTAAAGAAAAAAAGACATTTTGTAGAGACCTTTCTGTTAAAATTCACAAGAAAATAACTGTCTTTTGGAAATGGAATGATCAAGACACTTCTCTGAGCAGTACATGTTATATCTGTGCTGGTTCAGGGAGGAAGAAGGGAAAGAAAATATAAGGGGCTTTATACCAGTGTATTTTATGTAAAGCAAAATTGACCATTAAAAAAAAAAAAGGAACTGCAGCTGTAAAGTACTCTTGGGTTCAATCCCTAGTACAGGGGGAAAAACAGAATATAACATTAGGAGATTAGTTAAATAAACTGGCTTGTCCACATGATGAAAATGAAAATTAAATACAACTATTAAAAATCATGATTTTCAAATTTTATTAAATCATAATATCCTCATAATCAGTAAAAAATAAGATGTTCTCATGGTTTTCTTTATCTTTACAACTACAGAGCAAAGGTGATGATTCTCATATGATAAAGAATTAATGACTTGAATTTTATTACAAATTCAGTATGAGTCCACAAAGATATTTTATTTTGTCTGGTTTGGTTTTGCAGTCCTAGGGATTGAATGTAAAGGCTCACACTTCCTACCACTGAACTATATCCCCAGCCTTTTTAGTTAGTTTTTTTTAAATTTATTTTTAGAAGTAGTTGAACACAATAACTTTATTTTATTTATTTTTAAATATTTTTTAGTCATAAATGAACATTATTTATCTTTATTTGGTGCTGAGGATCGAACCCAGGGCCTAGCACATGCTAGGCAAGCATTCTACCACTGAGCCACAACCCTAGCCCCTCCCAGCCTTTTAAAATTTTTTTTAGTTGTAAATGAACACAGTACTTTTATTTTTATTTATTTATCTTTATGTGGTGCTGAGGATCAAACCCAGTACTCACACACATGCCAGGCAAGTGCTCTACCACTGAGCCACAACCCCAGTGCCAGCCCCTTTTAAATTTTATTTTGAGACAGGGTCTTGCTTAGTTGCTGAGACTGCCCTTGAACTTAGGATCCTTCTGCCTAAGCCCCCCAGGTAGCTGGAATAACTGGCATGAACCATCATCATCAGCTCCAAAGATGTGATAAGAAGAAAAAAACAAGCAACTGTGACCCTAGGCTTCATTAACTAGATTATCAGATCCACAGCAAGGAAGGTGTTTGTCATAGTCTATTTCACAGTGGACACTCCACACTGTGAAGAAAGTTGTGTTCATTTTTGGATCTCACAATTAAAAATGAACTTTGAAAAATTGGTGTGTACTCAGGGTGATGAGGATACTTGGAAATCATATCATTTGGTAAATCATTGAGGAAACTAAGTATCTTTAGCTTTGTGCAGAATTAGGGAAATCTGGGGAGTAAAATAATTATGTTTGAATGACTATGCCATGAAAATGAGATTAAACTGACTCCATGTCATTCCAGATGGCAAAATTGGGTCCTGGGGTTAAAAGTTATAGAAACTGTCATCATCTTTGGATAAATAGAGCTTCGGATAACTAGACTAGGGATGTTAGAAAAGGGCTTTGTGCATCAAACCAGGTTTTAGAAGTTCATTGATGTCCCTTCTGACTCCTACATGTCTCTTCCAGGCCAAACTACCCCAGTTTCTTCTACAGTTTTCTTTCTTTATATAATTATTTTATTTTATTATTGTTATTTCTGGTACTGGGATTGAAACCAGGAGTGCTAAGCAACTGAGCCACATTCCCAGCCCTTTTTATTTTTAATTTTGAGACAGGATCTCACTAAGTTGCTGAGGCTGGCCTTAAACTTTCAATCCTTCTGTCTCAGCCTCACAAGTCTCTGGGATTACAGGCATGCTCCATCAAACTCAGGTAATTATCTTATTTTTATTTATATATGTTAATTATACATATCCATGGGGTTTAGTTTGAAATTTTCACACATGCATATATTGTGCACTAATCAAATCCAACCTCCCTTTTTCCACCCTCCACCCTCTTCCCCCATGTATTTACCCTTCCCAACTGATATTAATCACTATTCTACATTCAGGTCAACTTCCTTTTTACCTTGAACATATAAGAGAGACCATTTGGTACTTGTCTCTCTGTGTCTGACTTATTTTCCTTAACATAATGTCTGCCAGTTCCACCCATTCCACTATTTTTCTTATAGCGTTGCTTCCTATAATCTGGTCACCAACCTTTTTTTGTTTAATTCCCTCTTTAGTAAACATATTTGCACAAAAAAACTCAATGTGTGTAAAAGAAAATATGCATATTGATTAAATGGGTTTAATATAGGGGAAACCTTTATAAGAATGTCAGGCACATATTAATGTTAGCTATTACTATGACAGCCTTGTTTGTAATGGTGAAGAATGTCACTATCAGGAGAACAGATAAACTGTGTTTTTAGAATGCAACTAAAGCTAAATGTATCAACATAAAATAAGTTACCATTTATATTAAGTTTAAAATTTGAGACAATACTTTTTTAAAAATTCATGTGCAGTAAAAGACATGAATAGGGATGATAAACACCTACAGTAATTCAGGACACTGTTCACTCCTGAGAGAGAGGCAAATGAGGTTAAGAAAGGGTCAGGGTAGGAAACCTTATTAAGGGGGTAGTAGGGACATGAGTGAGGTTTTTCTTATTATTGTTGTCTATGCTTTTGTATATGTGAAAAATTATGGTGCCCTAAAATGGGATTCATTATTTCAAATAGGCTTCAACTGACCCAGGGTATCATGATATAATTGCTCCCCATATGATCTGAACTCCAAATTTCTGCCTGACTACATTTGCCTTTTGACAGCTATTTCACATTGTTGACACAGAGAGTTTGCTCACTCTCAAATCCCTAGGCACTTTCTGCACAAACTACTTTTAAGTTAGATTTCTCTCCATATTATATTTATATGGATGATTTGAAGCGGGGGACCCAAATAGCAAATTTAATTTACTCCTATTTGGTTCTTTTCTTTCTACTTTCAACTTGTAATTCCAGCCTGTCAAAATATTTTTGGATTGCAACTTTTTTCTCTTACCTATTAATAATCCTTCCAGCATTGGGGTTGTGGCTCAGCGGTAGAGCACCCGTCTAGCACGTCTGAGGTGCTAGGATCGATCCTCAGTACCACATAAAAATAAATAAATAAAATAAAGGTATAAAAAATAATAATAATTCTTTTTGCTATTGTTAGAGCTGATAAATAAGCCTACCTTGTAAACTGGTTGTGAGAGTTCATATTTACATATATGAAAATACCCTGAAAACTATAAAGTGCTATCAAATGTAAATGATTTGGGCTGGGGTTGTAGCTCAGTGGTAGAACACTTGTCTGGCACATGTGAGGCACTGGGTTCGATCCTCAGCACCACATAAAAATAAATAAATAAAAGTATTATGTCCATCTACAACTAAAAACATTAAGAAATGTAAATGATTTTATTTCATTCCATCAATTCTTTGTTAAAATGTTGAATGATTAAAGTGCTGACAAAGAGCTGGGCATGGTGGTGCACACCTGTAATCCCAGTAGCTTAGAAGGCTAAGGCAGGAGGATCACAAGTGCAAAGCCAGCTGCAGCAACTTAATGAGGCACTTAGCAACTCAGTAAGACCCTGTCTCTATTAAAATATAAAAAGATCTGGAGATGCTGCTCAGTGGTTAGGCACCCCTAGGATAAATCCCCACTAGCAAAAAAAAAAAAAAAAAAGCCCAGGCTGACACTGGACAAAATGTAGAAACGTGAATTGGATGAAAATGCAATTAGATAGATCTAAATATATCAAGCAACTATGCTCAGGCCTTAAATATACCTAAGTATACTACCATTCAGCTTGCAATTCTTCACTTTACCCATAAAATTGTCAAAATAAAACATTAGGGCTAGGGTTGTGGCTCAGTGGTAGAGCGCTTGCCTAGCATGTGTGAGGCACTAAGTTTGATTCTCAGCATTACATGTAAATAAATAAAATAAATATCCATCAACAACTAGAAAAAAATATTTTTTAAAAAAGGAATCTAAGCCAGGCATGGTGGTGCATGCCTGTAATCCCAGCGCCTTGGGAGGCTGAGGCAGGAGGATAGTGAGTTCAAAGCCAGCCTCAGCAAAAGCATGGCCCTAAGCAACTCAGTGAGACCCTGTCTCTAAATAAAATAACAAAATAGGGCTGGGGATGTGGCTCAGTGGTTAAGTGCCCCTGAGTTCAATCCCCAATACCAAACAAAACAAAAAAGGAGTCCATCAATCACCTTGCATTATTATTGCTATCCCTCGTTTCTCTTTCAAGTATACTATTCAAAACAGAAAATGGATTTGCCAAGCATGACATGTTCTCAGTTAAACCTGTGGTAGTTATTGGTGATCATTATTTCACAAAAAGAGATGACTGAAGAGATTGAAGTTTGATAGAGATGATGGTACTTTCCATTTCTTTTCTATACAGGCTTGCAAATGAAGGGAAGGCACTTTAAACTAGGTTTCTAATCCTTTCAGTAATGTGTCTTTCCACAAACTTGTTTTGTAGTGTTCTTGCAAGGGATGGTGTGGAAACAAGCAATGTGGGTGCAGGAAGCAAAAGTCAGACTGTGGCATAGCCTGTAGCTGTGACCCCACAAAGTGTCGGAACCGCCAGCAAGGCCAGGTAGGACCAATACCATTTCCCCTCAACCATTACCCTTCACCATTCCCTCATGATTCCCACTAGTTTCCAACCTCTTTCTGCCTTCTATCCTGCAACCTGGAGTCTCCTATATAGCTCTTCCTACCCTTCTCCTACTCTCTGCACCTAGAAAACAGGCATAGTCTTCAGTCCTTTCTCCCTGCTCACCTGTCCACACACCCCCTTCAGAAAACTCAGCTCTTCCCATGAGATTTCTAAGTATGCAGTTGTAAAGTTTCTGTACACTTTCAGAGGCAGGAACACGGAACAGAAAAGCAGGCATTTACAGGCATATATACATGCAGGATCAAACTAGTCCAAAGGCTTAGCTGGAACTGTAAGAGCCACGTGCTGAGCTGGCAACTTCCAGGAAAGAAGTTAATCCTTCTGACATCTTGAGTCATTAGTTATTAGACCCTCTCCATGGGAACCAGCTATTCCATGGCTCTAGGAGAAGACCCACAGGAACCAGGTCTCTCTAATAGTCATTGTGACTCTTACTGTATTATGTAAATGTAGCTATCTTCCTTTTTTTTTTCCTCCCAGGATACCAAAATCAGGGCAACAAAATGTGCCCTGAAAAGAATAGTACCAAGCAGATCAGATCCCTGTACTTGCCTTACACCTACCTATGTCCATGGCAAAACTTATTGCTACAACTTTCCATAGGACGTAAAATAAGTCTACCAAGTGTAGTCTAATGATCATTCATCATGCATTTCTTGACCAACTACACACAAACAGTTTTGCCATGGGTCTTCTATTAAAATACTTAGAAGATAGGTAAGCATCAGAGAACTAAAGCAGCAAGCTAGAGATCAAGATAAGAATCATAGAAGTAGTAAGGACCTTATTTCCATGGTTTTTCATTTTGGTTTTTAGAGTCCTGTAGTTGATCATTACATGGAAGGGCTTCTGGGCTAACAGGTGTGGCCTGAAGGGGCTCAAACACATTTCAGCCAAATTTATTTATTCATATATTGGACTTAGGATTTCAGTTATAAAATCTACTGGTCTAGTCCATTGCTTCCATGTTACAGAAAAGAAAACTAAAGCCCAGAGATAAGTTTAAGTGGCTCACTTGATTTGCCAGGCTTTCTGACTCTTAATCCAGGCCTGTTTCCATAACAACAGGCTATATAATTCTACTCCAAGTTCTACACAGAGTCACTTTGTTACCTAAGCGACTTCTCTCTTGGACATAGTTTCCTTACCTAAAAGAAATACTAATACAGGCAACACCCTATAATGGTGCTATCATAGATTATAGAGAGGAGAAGTTTAATCAAAGAAATGACCCAAGGGCTGAGGATATAGCTCAGTTGGTAGAGAGCTTGCCTTACATGCACAAGACCCTGGGTTCAATCCCCAGCAACAACCAAAAAGAAAGAAAGACCAAGACTTGGCCTTGTTTGAAATCTAGCCTTGTGTCCTGTGCTGCTATCCTATTGAGACCTCTGCCACAGAGGCTACCCCCAAGCATTCCTTCATTCCTTCAGGGACAGAGCATGTCAAGCTCTATGACCGCCCAGGCGTGGTCTCCCTAAGACTTGCTTAGATTGACCAGTCAAGCTTAGATTGACTGATTAGAACTGGGACCTCCCTGGCTAGAGAGGAGCATACTGATTTTGTAACCCTGGTAGCCAAATTTAGAATATGCCCGTCTGGCTGATTCTCAGGATAGCTTGGGCACTGTTGAACGGACCCAGGATTCCGAAGGCTCCTTCAAACTGGAGGATCCCACAGAGGTGACCCCAGGATTGAGCTTCTTCAACCCCGTCTGTGCCACTCCCAACAGCAAGGTAGGTTGGCTATAAGGCAGGCACTGGAAAACTATATTAGCATCCATCACTGCACTAGCTATGACAGAGTCTGATTTGAAAAAAAATTATTATCCACTTTCTGGGAACTGGAAATTGGGCATTGACTGGAGTGGTTTGTTTGTTTATTTAACAGAGCCATCTTAGGGGATACCATGTATTACTGGGAATTTGTTAAGCATTTGTACTGCCTCTTTCCAAAGTCTATTCAAACTTGTGTCTGTCCTTCCTAGATTTTGAAAGAGATGTATGATGTGGAGCAGGTGCTACTAAAGAAGGTTACTCCAATTATACCCTCCTTGGACCTCCCAGAACTGAAACATACAGCAACAGAAGCCCGAGAAAATAAGGCTCCAGGGAAGAAAAAGAAGCGAGCTCTGGCCAGCAATACCAGCTTCTTCTCTGGTTGCTCCCCTATTGAAGAAGATGCCCACTGAAGCTGAAGTCACCATTTCTACCCCGTCTGCCTTAGAAGACATTTTCAGGTTGCAGCCAACAGGGGTTTTCTAATGACTTCTCTGGATTTCAGATTTCTTGCTATTAAGAAAAGAGACAGAGTGATACTAAAGGGAAGGGGAAGTTTGTTGAATGTTGACCCTTAGTCTCCAGCCCCTTCCCAGACGACTACTCTTTCTTCTCCAAAAGGTGCTGAGCCACCTACTGAAGAGAAAACCAACTGACCTTCCAATGACTCATCAGGAACCAGTCCTCAGCACAGTCTAGCTTTTTATTTTTTTTTAATTTGTGAGCAGTTATATCTGTCTCCTGATGGAGATGAGGCCAAGGCTTTCCCCTATAAATTGTCTCAGCTTAATGGAGGAGCCTGGCCCAGGATGGAGGCTTGGCTCAAACTCTTTACCCCACCTCAAGAATGGGCGGGGATCTTTATTGCCCTGAGTATGGATTTTAAGTATTTTAACAGGACCCTTAATTGTCTTCCATGTTACTTAAGTAAATAAAATATTTTTAAATGTTAAATAAATAAATAAATAAAATTTAGCCCATCTACTGTTTGGGAAGATCCTTTGGTGCTAGATAGAGAAACAAAATTCAACCTGTGTTCCCTAGCCCCTAGGAAAGCTGTAAGGATATTGATTAAAAGTTCCTGATGGGACTGAGGCTGTAGCTCAGTGGTAGAGCGCCTGCCTCACATGTGTGAGACACTGGGTTCAATCCTTGGCAACACATAAAAATAAATAGATAAAGATATTGTGTCCATCTACAACTAAAAGTATATTTTTTTAAAAAGTTCCTGAACCTACCTTTTGGGGGAAGTTGCTTACCACTTTTTTTCTTTTTTACAGTGCTAGGGAATGGAACCTAGGGCCTCACATGTGCTAAGCATGAACTCTACCACTGTGTTACACCACCAGCCCACCCTGTCTTTTTGTATAGCTACTCTCTTTCTCAGAGGAGAGTATAGGTTATCATATTTTATCTTATGTTGCTTTGCTACCCTAAGAAACTCAAATAACAGTAGCAAGGCCAGTGGCCAGACCTCCACTCTAAAATCTGCCTGCCTCCAGATCTGGGAAGAAGGAACTACATTTATTAAGCGTCTCCATGTTCCTGCCATAATTTTACTTACTCCTCACAAAAAAATGCTTATTTTGCTGATGAGGAAACAGTGTGTTAGTCAGCTTTACAGCAGAGATAATCAGTTTCTGAAGAGAATAGGTTTATTTTAGCTTATAGTTTCAGAGGTTCTACTACATAGTTTGTTGGTCCTATTTACTTTGGGGCCTGGAATGAGGCAGCATATCATGGTAGAAGCATATGGTGAAGCAAAACTGCTCACCTCATGGCCAGAATGCAAACAAGCGGAAGAAGCTGGGGTCCCACTGTCCCCTTCAAGGGCATATTCCCAATGAACTGAGCACCTTCCACTAGGCCCCACCTCTTAAAGGTTCCACACCTTCCCAAAGAGTGCCACAGGTTGAGAAGCAAGTTTTTAACACATGAGCCTTTGAGAAACATTCCAGGTCCAAAGTATAGCACTGATGTACAAAGAAGTTAGTTAGGTAACTTATCTAGAATCATAAAGTTTGGAATAATAAAGCTAAGACCTTAACCTATCTGATGTGTGACTTTTTTTTTTTTTTTTTTTTTTTTTTTTTGGTGCTGGGGATTGAACCCAGACACGCTTTACCACTGAGCCACATCTCCAGCCCTTTTTAATTTTTATTTTGAGACAGGGTCTCACTAAGTTGCTTTGGGCCTTGCTAAGTTGCTATCGCTGGCCTCACATTTGTGATCCTCCTACCTGAGCCTTCTGAGTCACTGAGATTATAGATATGCACCATCATACCTGGCTAATGTATCACTTTCTAATGCCCTGCAGCCCAATTTCTTGGTGTGGGACCACACTGCTGTTCAGTTCCAGGACAGAACAATGCTGGCTACTTGCTTTCTCCTTTCAGAGTGTTCTCCATCTCTGCTTAAAGCTAAAAGGGGGCCAGTCCTGGAACATCATACACAGGTTCCTGATTGGACTGTAGCCTTTTGGGAGTTCACAAGCTCAGGGATTCATATTTGTGCATATTGAATCCCTGTTACAAAGCTCCCACACCATCCCCAAGAACTTAAAAGCTGAGACTCTAGAATCCACCACAGTCTAAGCAAAGGAAATTGAACAACAACCTGCTTAGAATGAAGCCTGCCGAGGACTGGGTGACCCACTGGCCCTCCTTGGCCTCCTGCCAGCAAGCAGCCCTGCTTCTCTTTGCATTTTAATTCTGAGAGAGCAAGGGAGCCTCTGCCATTGCCAACTAGAGCCTCTGGATACAATGAAAAGGCAGAGAGGGAGGGGGCCAGCTCTTGGCAGAGGAGAGCCAGTCTTCCTTCTCACTGTTTGAAATCCAGTGCCTGTAGGGGGAGGGGGAGCTGGCTTATCCCTAGAGACGATATTCTTTCCCACCAACACTGTGCTAGCCCCTGGACCTCAAGTCACTGCATCAGCCAGAATGCAGAGAGGGTCAGCCCATCAACCCAGTTCCCAGCCCCTAGCCCATGCCAACCTCTGTGCTTTACACTAAATTAACAACTTGCTAGGCCACCCTCTCCTGCTGATGCTAGAGTAACAGCATCTTCTGTGTGTGTTCATCTTCCAAAAAGCCTGAAACCTCAACATACTATACACTCCTCACAGTGATTCATAGAGACTTGATGCTCTGAGGATATGGCAGCAGGAATGATACAAGTCTCAGCATGACCTGAATGAACATCTTGCGTGGAGTAGCGAGCCAAGGAACAGGCTACCGTCACCCCAGATCCACAAGGACCCTAGGGACCCCTGGTCCAAAAATAAAGCAACCTGTTACCCCGAATTCAGGAAATAGCTTTCAACTACAAGTCTTAGTGATGTACCTTGCAAAATTAAAAGTAGGAGCCCAAGAGGGAAGACAGGCAGACTAACGAATCAAAGCTGTATGCCCAGGGAGCTTGAGACTGGATACTAGCTAGACTTCTTCACACAAGCGTGTTTCCAGGGGGCTAGCAGGGCCCCTTCTCACTGCCAAGTTGCAAAGTTGCGTGGTCACCTCCCCCCTCCCAGCCTCCAGCTGCCGCTAGTGCCCTCAGCCCTCGCCTCCCTGAGCCAGGACAAAGCCCTGGCAGTGACTGGGAGGGGAATAGGAGGAGGGACAGAGAGATGGGGAAGGCTGCACAAAGGAATTCCTCGCCCCAAGCCCCCTGACCGCCAGCGAGTAAAGAAGCAGAGCTGCTCTCCCTCCCACTTGCTTCCTCCTGTCTTCCCACCCTGGCCAAGCCAGGCCATAGAGCAGCAGCAGGCCTTCAGAGAGGACCCACACATCCTCCTGTAGGTGGCAACAGTGCCACCTGTTTGACCGGTGGGGCTGAGCCAAGGACTGGAAGAGGGAGGAGGCAGACAACTCGGAGTGGAGCTGAGAAGCAGTGCAGAGCAGAGACCAGAGCAGAGCTGCCGCTGAGATAAGGTGTGAGGGCTTGGGAAGGCTGGGGGCTACAGGCGGGAGCTGGGAGGTGAAGACTGGTTCCACCGGATAATTACCGGGCCCAGGGATTGAGAAGAGCCCTTGTCAGATCCCCTGCTTGGGATTCTCAGGCTGCTCAGATCCTACAGGTAGCTCCTGGAGGGAGGTGGGAGTCTAGAAGGCAATCTGGGGTGCAAGGGTAGGACCCTAGGGGAGGCAAGAGGTGTGGATCAGAGCCCAGAGCAGGCTACAACAGCCCAGGGGCCTTCCTCTGGGTTGGCTGACTCCTGGGAATGGGTTCAGGGAGGGGGGAGAGATTTCCTTCCCCCCAAGTCTAACCCCCCACTCCCCCGCCCCATCCCTCCTTTCCTAAGGTGAGCATAGAGTAAGGGGGTCAGTTAAGGAGCAGCCACACCCATCCTCCTTGAAGAGGCCCAGCCACTGTATTTTCCCCTAAGATTCCACAGCCTCAAGGGAGCCTAGATGGCAAAGGGTCCTGTTTCTTAAACCACACAAACATACACACACACACACACACACACACACACACACACACACACACACATACTTTAGATGTATTCAAGAGCTCCTTCACATACTCCAAGTCATCTAGAAACCCATTCATCCTGACAGCCACTGGTGCACACATGCATACGTACCCTAACAAATTGCACACATTCTCATGTAGAACCATAATCACATATCCAGCCCACTAGAGGATCAGCCAGACCCAGAAGCCCAAGGCAAAAGGAGCCCCTGCCCCAAGACAACCACACCCCCATATACACACCTTTGCCCTGTGTGTGTTGTACTTTCACCGAAGCTAACTTAGAGGGTGGGGCGGGGAAGGCGGTGACTGGGTTTCTGGTGGGGGGGGTGTGACTGGGCAGGATGACTGGGCAGGAAAGGACAAGACTAGGGTGGGAGGGCTTGGATTTTCTAGAAGTGTACAGATACAAAAATGGTTCTTTTAGAAGTCTGGAAGTGACCCAGGCAACCTGTTCCCCCTCAAAGCTTTCTCTTATTGGCAGTGCCCCCTACCCCCTGGGAAGTGGACACAGAGAATCTTTCAGTCAGGGCTTTGTGGTTTGTACAATCTCTGTATCCATAGCAACTAGCCAACTAGCTAGGCCTCCCTTAGCCCCAGGTCAGAGCTGGAACCTCTGCTTCAGGTTACTCCTGCTTCCTCGGGTGGAAGGTAACTTAACATGGGGCTGCCTCAAGCTTGGCCAGATCTGCCTCGACTTGCTGAACTGAGTTTGCCCCACCCTGGGGCAGTTTTCCTGAGTTTCCACCCTGGGTAATCACTCCAACCCCAGAGCTGGATACAGTTAAATAGGGAAGAGCTGGAGAGAGTGGGTATGCATTCTGCCTGCAAAAAGGTTGGACCTCCTGGGTGTCCCACTGACCTTCCAGGTATGGAGAATCAAGGGGACAGAATGACCCCAGAGACTCTTTGCCAGGCATGGAGCCACGGTTATTCACCTCATACAATCCAGCACTTTGGGCCATGACCTCCCTCCATTGCTGAGCAGCGGCCCAGGACTGCCCCTCCCAGGGGCTCCTCAGATGTCTGGGAGGGAGGCTGGGATATGCCCTCTGCCAGGGTCCCTGATGGCCGAGTGTCCCTTCCCCCAGGCCTTCACCATGGCCCCTGGCTGCTGTTCCGTCTGGGCCCGCTGCCTCCACTGCCTGTATAGCTGCCACTGGAGGAAATGCCCCAAAGAGAGGATGAAAACGAGCAAGGTGGAGTAGGGTTGGGGGGGAGGCTGGAAGGCAGAAGGCAGATACTGATTGGAGGGGATAAGGAGGCAAATTATGCTCCTAGGCAGCTGGGAGGAAGGGGTTTTTCTCTTCCCAGAAAGAAAATCTCCCTCAACTATGGAAAGAGCAGCCCAGAGCAGAGCAGCCCAATGCGTGGCAGGAAGCTCTCTTGAGCTGCCACCCATTGGGGACTCTGAGCGCGAGATGGGGATCCATCATCTGTGAGCTTCTCTCCTGCCCCTTTACAGTGCGACTGTATCTGGTTTGGCCTGCTCTTCCTCACCTTCCTCCTCTCCCTGGGCTGGCTGTACATCGGGCTCATCCTTCTCAATGACCTGCACAACTTCAATGAGTGTGTCATGGGCCCCACCCTTTCCTCAGCATATATGTCAACCTACTCCCCTCCCTAGGGATCCTTGGGTGCTCAGCCTTAACCATTGATCATTGACCAGCCCTAGCTCTCCTACTCTCCAACCTTCTTAGAAAATCCTTCCATGAGATCTCCCTAGTCCTTGGAGCCCTGGCCCCATGGACTTTCCCTCACTCCTTCTGGTCCTCTTGGATCCACCCACCCCAAATCCCCTCAGGTCACTAATGAGAGCCCTTCCCCCACTTAGACACCTCCTTCTCCCCTCCCACAGATTCTTATTCCGCCACTGGGGACACTGGATGGACTGGTCCCTGGCATTCCTGCTGGTCATCTCTCTACTGGTCACATATGCATCCTTGCTATTGGTGGGTAAAGGGACAGCCAACCTAACCCTGACCTCAGCCCTTCTTTCCTGCTCACCTCTGCCCTCTTGTTCTCATCCTGGCTACTGAGGGGAGAAGGATAATTCTTGGGTGGGAGGAAGGTTCTAGAATGCAAAACCCTTTATAGTGACCTTGCCCTGCTTTTGGCACCTCCTAAGTCCTACTACCCTCTACCCCTAGCTCCTGGCCCTGCTCCTGCAGCTCTGTGGACAACCTCTGCATCTGCACAGTCTCCACAAGGTACAGTGAGGGTGATAGTGAGTGGGAGAGGGAGCCACTAGGCCCAGGGCTTGGCTGGCTGTTTGCTGAAGACTTCATTTTTGTTTTTATTTTTGTTTTCTTTTTTTATTTGTTCTGTTTAAATATATATGATAATAGAGTATATTTTGAAATATCATACATACATGGAGTATAACTTAGGATCCCATTCTTGTGGTTGTACATGATGTGGAGTTTCACTGGTCATGTATTCATATTGAAGACTTCATTTGTATATCCATGGGGTCAAGCTCAGATCCTGAAACCCAGTATATTTATTGAGTCAAAGAAGGAAAGCTGATGTGTCAGAGGAAGGGAGAGATCCTGTCTCAACA